AAGGCACACCAATCCTACAAAGAACATGTCTACTAAAGCAGCAATGCTTGCTACTGTCCCATTTACCAGATCTTTAGAAGTACAATAACCAGTCATTGCAGTATCTCTGATGATACCACTGTCACATATGGAAAATAAAATGCACAGCTACCACACACCACTTAACTAGGAGGCTTGACATACCTGTTTGAGGTTTCCACTCAGTGCCGCATAGATTGCTCGCTCATATCTATTAAACTGCTCCTAAAAATGAACAATAAAAAAATACAACTTTTAATTACAAGCCATTTAAGTTTTCTAGTCACTTTGCATTTTATTAGAGATTAATCCATTACAAAATGTTCCATCTAACCGTTTCCAAGAAAAGCTGGGAAAAAAAAAAAATAAAAAAATCACAGGACACATCAGGAGCCAAAATAAGAACAGTAAGTGACTTCCCTTTCACTGGCTTATCTGAAAAATTTGTATTGACCTGGAAAGAAAGCAACGTTTTTCCTTTCCCATTCAATTAAGTCAAGATGAAAGTCAAAGTTAAGCATCAGCAGTTTCACTTCCAATCAAATTAAAAAAAGGCAGACATTTCCTAAGCCTGAAAAATTGGTGCCGATTACGTAGATTTCTCACTACAAGACATAAATACGTTATTTCAGAAGTTCTCTTAGAAATACTAATTGCAAATCCTATAAGCAGCAAACACAGAGGGGGTAGGTTTACTTAAAATCATGTTACAGAGTTCAGAAAAGTTCAAATTTATATATTAATATCAAGAAAATCTGCTTGATAGCTCACCTCTTCAGCCATACGCCAACAACTTATTTTCCAAATGCACCTGTACGGATTCCCTTGAACAGGCTCGATCTCTTTTCCTACATGCAAAGGATAATTAAAAAAAAGGAAAAGGAAAACATGCTATTGAGAAACCAGTAACAAGGTAAAGCCTATTTTCTGTTATTAACCCAATTTCAACCCCTTTAGAACTCTTCCCAAAGCATTTTGATGCTTTTGACTGGACTGCAAGGTGGCTTTTCTGGGAGGTTTGGTCCATGCACCTCCTAAGAGCTACAGTATTTTGAAAGCTTAGCTGCTATCTAGCTTTGAAGAAAATAATGGTTTTGACCTTAACATAACTACAATGTTTACGTTCTGGAAAACACAAAGTTAAGATGTAATAATTTCTTTTCTCTTAAGGAATACAAACTTCTAAAGAACTGTCACTCCCTCAGTGCTGCTGCTCTGCGTGCATCCGTGCGAGGGCACGCATCACAGAATTAAGACCCACGTAAGAGCAGGCCAGGTAGGTACGCTCAAAACAAGGCTAGGACGCTGGTGAAGCATGCAGATAAAAGTAATGGGCTATCAGGATTTGAAAAGTAGGAAAGCACAATGCCCTCCAGACCCGGCTACGTACACCACTTCGACACACTCTTAAATTCTTTGTTAAACCCTGCAATGTCCTGAGCGTAAAGGGAAGCAAGGTCCTGTGTTATAAACAGGAGGGAACCTAAAGGTAATTTAACAATTTTCAAACATTTTAAAAGCCTCTCTTTTTCCTGCATTTACATTTGCTGAACTCTAGTCCTACTATGCCTTTCTGAAGCTGGATACAGAGTCCAACTTTGAGCCTGTAGGCAATAAAATGTTTGCTAGGTGGCACAAGTCAGATGTTGAGAAAATACAGACTGAAATACTATGGAGGTGGAGAAGATCTGTCCGGAACTCTGAGAGATCAGAGTGGTTCAGTGAACTCATACCTTCAACTAAAATAATTTCATATTAGTTTTTAGACCTTCAGACATGGTAAAATATTTTAGATACAAAAAAGGCTCTTAAGGCGAAAAGAAAGCACTATTTCTCTTTGCCACATACAGATATTAAGAGAAAGCCCTCTGCCCTATCTTTAAATCTGTTTCAAATGCACTTTGAAGTAGCTACCTCCATTTATGTTAGGATCATGATACAACTTCCATCCTTCCAAAGTCGCAGCTCTCCAGGCCTGACCACATCGTTTGCATAAGCGCTGTGCCTGAAAAATAATGGGTTTTCTCAGCAACAGACATCAAGGTAGGAAAATCATCAGCTTCTCCTTTAAAAATTTGAACATTATTAAAATAGTTAATTTGTGCAGAGACTCTACTATGCAAAAAATAAGCACAAAGAATCTTAAAACAACTGAAAGATTTCAAAGTAAATAAAATGTCATCAGGTTTTTTTACCGAACATTTTAGTTTTTCAGTCAGTATTTACAGCAATGTGAGAAATACACTGCCTCATCTTTGCCATCTTAAACAGACGTTATGCATCTTATGATAAGTTTAGTTTAAGGTGTCGTCTTGTAGCTTAGATGTATAATCCATCTCTTCACGCAGTCACCTACTTTTCCAGTTGACTTAGCTTTCCAAACCCCACATGCACTTCTAAAAATAGCAATCCCATCTTTCCCATAATGATATTCAATAGTCTACGCACTACCACAAACAGGTTTAATTCAGTATTTTGAATAGCATGGAAAGCAGCACTGAAACTATACAAAAAAAGCTTGCCTACAGTTCTTCCAATCCTACAGCCCTTGAAAAAAAAAAACCAAACCCAAAGTTTCAGCTAAAGATTGTCTAATTAGTTTGACTGGTACTGTTCCAGGACTGACAAAACAGCATGAACAGTGACAGAAACTGCAATATGCAGTCTTAGTTTGTTTAGCCAAATTCTGTTCTTTTCACACTGGAAGGCTGCAGACATTCAGCCATTTCGGGAATGGTGACAAACAGTAAATTTAAAGAACAGACAAGCAACTAGCTTACCTGCTGTATATTACCGATTGTACGGTAAATGAACAGAGGTTTATTCTTTATTCAGAGTAAACTCAAAGTATTTTAACTTACTCTTTCAGTAGTGAATAACCCAATTCATGCTTATCAGACAGCAGGGACATGATAGCTGTGACTGCAGAACTGATGCTGCAAATTTATATTCATATTGTCCTGCAGCAACACGCTTGTGTGCCCATACTATCAGAAAATGAATAGATGTGCACCATATTGGAACAGAATACCAGCAAGTAACCGTATTCCTAAGTCTAAGGCCTTAGGCACAAAATCTTATGTCACTTTTTTTCCCCCCCCATTACTCAATGTCATTATATATACGTAGTGTCTAGTGTTAAGAGAATCGGTTTCCAGCTGAGGCCTTTAGACAACACCACGATACAAGTATGTACATGATTAAATCATGAAAGATGCTTCACAACTGGGAATCGTTACTCAGGACTGCAATTGCCTGGATGTTACTCAGCTAAGGATTAATGCAAAGTATACACATCACATATTCTCTAAGGTGGGGGAACAAGCAGACTTACAGTGAAAGAGTTAATGGAGGATAATAACGTGCTTTCTAGAATACTCAGATAAAGTCTACCAGAGTTTTCACTGCTGAAGACCCTGCCAAACAATAAAGGTAAGAAAACGAAAGGTAGAAAGCAAGAAAGAAAAGTTATTTTAACTAATAAGAATAACCGCTGTAAATAACCTATGGAGCTAATGCACCGGTCCCCAGTTCTCAGTCCTGGGACACACCTCCAAAGGTGCCACTGCAACTGTTTGTACAACGAGGTGATAAAAATAGGCCCGACTCTCTCCCTCAACTGCACTCACATCACATACCCAAGGGAACGTTAGAGGAGCAGAGCAAGCAAGGTTTGCTTAATTTCATGCTATTTCTAAGAAAACCATAAACCAAACCTCTCTCTCTAGTTAAAATTGCAGGCGTGTTCCACTCTTAACGTATCTAGAAGGAAACCTGTATGATAATCCACTGATTATTAGAGATGCAGTCAGGAAGTTTGTTAGAGGAGCAGAGCAAGTAAAGTTTGCTTAATTTCATGCTATCTCTAAGAAAAACATAAATCAAACCTCTCTCTCTAGTTAAAACTGCAGGCGTGTTCCACTCTAACGTATCTAGAAGGAAACCTGTATGATAACCCACTGATTATTAGAGATGCAGTCAGGAAGTTCTTTGAAACATTGTGTGTTTGTCTGGCAGTATTCAGCATCAAGCCACTACAGTAAAAAAATATTGTCAAGCAACCAAAAAACCCAAAGATACAACATTTTTTCCGTAACACCTATTCTACACCCAGAATTACCTAGCTAAATGCAGGATTTTTATTAAAATACTAATTTAGCAGTCCATCACTGTCAGCATTGATAATAAATTGAAAATTAAAAAAACTACAAGCCAAATTTAAACAGACATTTTAGTACACAGCTTTTCATTAGCTTTAATAGTAAGATTTAAAATAAGTTACACTAGTTAACCAAGAAGATACTGTGACTTTCTACAGCTTACCTCATCTGT